TAAAAATAGAATTATTGTCTCATATCATGGGGACAACCCCAATACTAGAAATGGCGCGCGCTTACGGTCTCCGTCCCCGATTATGGCTCCTGCTGAAACTTATAAAAGGCCTTGGCTTTGACTGTATGACTGTTTATTAGTTATCTGTCAAGTTAACTATCCAGGCTGTACTGGTAATAAAGACCCATCATAACCCTCATATTTGCCTGCAAGTGACAAGGGTAAATTTAAAAGGCGTAATTCCATGGTAACTTATCAAGATTTGGACTGTTTTTCGACTCATTTCTTTCCTGTTAGGGTTTTCAACTGATCCCACCAAAGGCTAAGCCAGCGCCTCCCGATAAGCCCCAGTCCATCGCGGCCATACCAGCCAAGTCCGACTATCAGGAATACTTCATGAGTATTGGCCGAATCTCACACAAACTAAGTCTGACGTCACCGGAAGTGACGGTCACAAAGTACAGACCACGCCACCAGCTGGGATCCCAACCCACCAACTACAGGTAGGGTAAACTTGCTGCTTGAAGTTCGCAAGAGATAATAACAAGAAGCACGCAAAGCTACAATTAGGGGCTAAAGTAGTTTGGACACAAACTTTCTCCCTTCAAGTGTAATTCGGTCTACCTACACTCCTCATATTTCGCCCCCCCCTCCCCCTCCCCTCTTTCCCATGTTGTAACCACGTGACAGCGTCGCTAAAGCCCGTTCCAATTCAACATTGATTGAGAAGGCGGGTTGCGGTTGGCTATTGACGAAAAAGGTGTTTCTTTTATCAGGGGAAGTACGGATCTCGGTTCCAAAACGTCCGATTTGCAAAAATGTCTCGACACTTTTGTCTTTGATTGTGGGTTGTAGTAATAGCGACGACTATGGTAAAACTAAGATAAAAATGTACTCAAGGAGTCGAGAGGAACTTACGTTTGGCAATCACGGGTGATAATTATATGCAGTCAACCTGATATACCGAGCTGATCTTGTGGTAGAGAACATTTAAGAAGAGCTTCATTCTACGTTTCCTTGTTTATAACAAGCCAATAATTTCCAATCATACATGATGTAAACCTCGATGCCGCTGAGATTCAACCCAAAGGATTGGCTGCCCCCATTTCTTTCTTGAGATATCTATCAAGAAGATGGCATCTCAGTTTGGGGTAATTTTAATGTTCGGATGCAGGAGTTGGTAATAATAACTATATCTTATTTCTGTTTGTAACGAATGTTGGATGTAAAGAATATGATTCATGATTAAACTGTTTGAGCCCCAAATGTAAAGAAACTGGTTCACTGAAGAATAGACCCTTTGCAAAAATGGTGCCTAAATTTGGATAACAATACTTTATACATCATGAGCCTCGTTTCTTATGTTTCCAAACAAAGGACTTTCTCGTGAGTTTGAAGCTAAGGATGTAAATATTGCTGTTCAAATGTAGTGCCATTTATGCAAAGCTCTATGCAGTTTCAAAATGGGCCATATTTGTATTTCCATTTTGGACTGAAACTAGCTTGCAACTGAGGCTAATGGTAAATGCGGGGAGTCGATCATTTCAAATGCAAAAGGTATTGATCCCCATTTAGTCATATTCCTCCATTCCAAGCCTCCATTCCAAGCTAATTCCAGTCCAGTAACGAGAACACGAATATGGTCTATTCGAGAACGCATACCCGCCCCGGCCGTTGTTTATGTATGATATGTATGGTTTGTTTATTTATTTGTTTGTGTCTTTGATGATGACATTTTCTAATGGTTCCTACACAGCTATCGCCTTTGGATCCCACAGAGAAAAATGTTTGAACCAAATCAAGGAAGATTCCTGCGCGAAGAAATGGACAATTACAACTGGAATTACTTGGACCAACACATTTGTGGAGACCCTGAATTTGATGAACTTATCGAGGTGACATAATCATGCTTTTATTTTTACCAAAAATACCTTGACTCTAGTATGTAATTTGTATTTTTCTTCTGCTTAGTCTTTAAATTACTGGAAGGCTCGCTTTCTCCTGCTGCCGTTTTCGCCGTTTTCGCAGCGTAAAATGAAAGAAGAAGGATGGGGAGACAAGAAGAATACAAGTTCACAAGAAGACAGTGTTGTGGATGGAATCCTGAGATTTCTTGAGGTCCTTAATCGAATAAAACGTCTTCAACCTCAGAAAGTGCCGCAAACACCCAAGGTAAGTTGAACAAGAGGGATAAAGTACTTCAGGACTATATTATATGAAATCCGTTTCAATCGTGACATTGCGTGACACATAGTTTGAAACTGCCGTGACACCACGTCCGCGGGTCTTTTCTCAAGTTTGTCATTGCGTTTTTGATTGAAGTTTTTGCTTCATTACGCTGAAGACGTTTAGTGTCAATTTTGAAAAACAACTTCACTGTGCAATGGTTGTTTTCTTCTGTTGGTTCTTTTTTACACTCCAGTTTATCTTATACATTCATTCAGGAACGAAAGCAGTCTGAGGCTTCTATGTCATCTCGTCGCATTAGCAAACAGCACGAGCACAAAACAGCCCGACCCCCATTTATTATTATTACATCCTCTGAGTTAACCGTAGCCAAGGATAGCAACTCTACGCCCGGCAGTCCGCTGGCCATTAGATCGCGGTCGTCCTCGGCAACGGGGGAGGAGTTGGCTTGTCCGAATACTCGTGGCAGTCCTTCTCGAGAATTGGCCAGGTTAGTTTTTCACGTTTTTGTGTCAATAATAGCAAGGAATAATTCCTTTCTCGGTGTTCTCTTTCCATGCTTAATTCCTAACCAATCTTAACTCTGGTTAACCATTGTTCTCCTGAGAGAGTTTTTTGTTCTTGCTCTAAACTTTCATTCAAAGTCCAGTGTTAGGAGTCACGTCACGGTGTGTGGGTTATTTTGGCTACACACAAAATTACCTTTCAGTTGAAGGAAACCTGAATGGTATACTAAGATAGAAAGACACCTAAGAGATAGTAATAAACCATAAAGGAACAATGATGGTTAAGGATGGAGAGGATTAAGACGGATTACAAACGAGGAACTTGAAACATTTAGGCTTAACTTTTCAAGATGCCCGAACCGTGACGATTTCTTATCAAATTTTCTTCTGAGTGGACTGACTCATACTTCGTGTACGTATAATGATTTATTCCTTTATCATAGCGAGCAGCCGAAAACAATGGACGAGTCAGAGAAAGAAAGGCTTAGTGTAGAATCACCGCTGGAGACTGTAGCAGAGGCCATGCTGGATCCTGGGTACGTCTTATTTCACACACTTAGGTCGTGTCCTATTGGGATCAGCCGTTTCTTGTTGGCTGGGTTGGTTGGGTTTTTTCGTGGTCTATTGGAGAAAAATCGTTTTCGGTTGGTTTTGTTGATCACCTTTTTCAACCGTCCTCAAACCAGGTTGAAACAGTTGAAAAAGTATTTGCGTGATTATGTCGCGTGATTGTGGCTCGCTTAAGAACCATTCCCAGGCGTTACCGCGTCTCAACCGAAAACAGTTGGAAAACTGTTCTATTGAGAAATGTCAACCTTATCAACCCAAACCGGTTGCGATTGAAACTTTCAATCCCAATATAACACGACCTTAGATCGTAACAGTTCTACTAGGATCAAGTGTTCTCGATTGGTTAGGTTGGTTGAGTTTTTAGGAGTTGAATCGAAAAAAAACAATTTCTTTAAAAATAATTACAAATTTTCAGAGGTTCGTCTCGTGCCTCAGTTGGGTAAACCATGAAACTACTACTATGAAAATCTTGCATGAAGGAAATGATAGCCAAAATGTAACTGACCTACCGTTTTATCAAAGCGCTGTTGTATTGGCGTACATATGTTCACCGTTCAAACGATGTGATCAGGCTTTACCGAGCGAACTTTTAACGGCAAGTAGACTCTTGTGGCGATTTCCTTAAGAATAAGAACGCAGCTAGCACAAGCTAAGATATTTTGAGGTTAGCATGTGGTCGTGTGGCGAGAAATACTGTATGTTATGTTCTGTTTGTCTTCTATAATAAGGCTTTGCCGGTTATGTGGACAAACGTTTAGTCTTAGTACTGGTAACAATATTCATAAAAGAAGACAGGTGGAAGAAAGAACCACATTGGACAACTTCAATACTGTCGCTGTTTTAGCTATCTTATGCCCACCCCGAACGAATTTTTAGTCACTTAGAAAAGTGAATTCAGTTGTCTTTAGTAGCAGTTGCTTGTTTTACTCGGCAGAAAAGGCTTGACTTTCCTACCAGAGTTAAAGGGACTGAAGCCTTCCAGCTTTTTAAGCGTCGAGGCGATATCGTGGATTTTACAGAATGTGGATGGAGTCAATTCTAAGGAGCAAGCCATTCAGCTGTGCCAGGTCAGCGGCTTTGACTTCCAATTGTGCCTCGTTTTAATATCGCGGCTAGTAAGATAGTAAGGGTGCAGTTTAATATCGAGCAAAGCGTGTGACAAAAGGTTTTTTCCTTTTATTTTTTCTGCAATTTTGTGTTATATTTAAACATTGACACGCGGTTTTGGAAATTGTCGCTCTTTCGAGCAGGAGCAATGACCTAGGTTCCTTCTCCAGTTACAAACCCATGCGAGCACTCTAGGATAGATTTGTCTCGTCGCTAGACAAACTGGCGGGCCTTTGACTGGCAATGGAGGGCATTCCTCTTTGGAACTAATAACGTCAATAACTTTACAAACTGGGATACAGTGGCCTCTTGAATTTACATCAGAAAGCCTAATGATTAAAACGCGTCCAAGCTTTCTCAAGGTCTATTCTGGACACCAGAAGGGAAAAGACAACTGGGAAGGCCTAGAACAACCTGGAGGACGTCAACGGAAAAAGAACTCGAGACCATACACTTGACCTGGAGTGAAACCCGGAAGGCGGCACAAGATCGTTCTCGCTGGAGAGAGAGACTGTGAAGGCCTTATGCGTCCGATGGCGCGATGAGGACTGATGATGGTTTCTCAACAAAAAAAATATCTGTGAATGATGCAATTTGGTACCTCGAGTCTTTTTCCTTACTGCGCAAGCGTGACGAAATGATCACTCCCTTCCCGACCGCTGTTCAAGGGAAAGAAGACGGATCTCTGTTTGAAAACGTGTCGTTTGCAAAAATGTCTCAAACCTTTTGTCCCTGGTTGTAGCTTTTAATCTGGTCTTTGAGATTTTCGTTTTAATTTCAATTGCAGAAAATGGTGGAGGCAGGTTTCATCCAGCATGCTTCAGAAAGCGCCAAGCAGACCTTGGTAGAAGGTTTCATCATATTCTGTTTCACACCAAAATCCTCTTGGGTGGAGAAAACAGAGGGTAAGTTCTTGAGGTAGTCTTTTACATAAGCCTTATTAGCTTCCCTGGGCTTCCTTGCTTAATATACATTGATATGTTGTAAAAAGATTTATAAATGGCAAAAACTAAAACAAACAAACAAACAAAGTTCAGAATTAGTTCTCAGTTCACAGACTGACGCGCAATGGGAAAAACTGGTTAGAATCGCGCAAATTTAGGCGATTCAATTGCCGTCAAAATAATGGTTGAGTTTCAGTTTTACTTTCTTTGTAGGAAGATGAGATTAAAATATGTTATATCGTTGGACCTTCAAGACTGTTGTTTTTTCAAGCCATAACTGTGGTGCTCTTGATTGCTTTGAAATTTTATCCTGCACTTTCTCGTAAACTTTCACGAATGTTCGTGGTGTAATCGTGTTATTTCTGTAGCATGAATTAGATTTTCCCTTTCTGTGTAAAACCAACTGTTCTCTTGAACAACACTACACTGCGAAACTCCCTTCGGCGAATCAGATCAGACAAATGTACACTTCACACGGACATAAGATATTTCTGTTCCAGATCAGTCAGTTATGTGATATTTTTGTTATTTCGTTTCTAGATATCCTTGACACCTCTAACTTTCGCGCGCCTCACCGAAGCTCGATCGACGTGGAGCGTTTTGAGTGCGATCTTTTACGAGCCTTTCAAATGGAATGGTTCGAAATCGCTATTTGGCCGCGCAAGACTAGTGAAGAGGTCCCAGAATTCTTAGCACCAGATCAAGTGATTGATTCATTTCCGACTAGTTCTCCGTACAGGAAGCGCAACCGAACAAGATCGGCCCGTCGGAGTCAACGAGGACGTTTGCATTCAGACAGTGGTTTGTATTCTTAAAACCTACTTCGTAGTGTAGTAGGAGCATCAGTAGTTCGTATAGTGTAATCGTCTAGGTATGGGTAGTTCTAGCCTAGAAGGCTGACCTTTGAGTCACACGCGCGAGCGGCAAAGAGCAAAGCGATCCGGCGGGAAGGAGTCTGGTAAAGAGGCTTCGAGCTCGCGGCGTAGCGCGCGCTTGTGCTCTAACGTGGGCATGCTCGCAGGCCAGGGTAGTTCTAACAAGAACTGTTTTTTGGTGACTAGTAGTGCCTCTCGACTTCAGTGCAGATACGAATTCTGTTGTCCAATTATGATCAATCAGGTCATTAATCTTGTCATGCATAGAGTTTGAACAAAACTCCAGAACTGAACTATTATATTTCGAAATCCTAAGATTCCAATTTTTTTTGTAGTTGTTTATTTGTGATTTAGCTCTTCATACATTCTGCAGTTATCACCAAAGTTTAATGGCTTTAGTTCGTAAATTTCGTGAAGTTCTACAACTCACCAAGTCATTTGCTATAAAACTACGAACAAAGACTATTCAAACAGCAACTGGCTCAGAATTAGACGCGNCGGCCTTTTTAAGTAACTTTTTTATTATTGTTATTGGTATTTTTTTTTTTTTTTTGTAACTGATCAAACTACACTTGTCTCCATTACAGTCACTTTTTACCTTTTCAGGTTCATTCATGGACTCGGAAAGCGCCCTCCTGTGGATTTCACTTAGTCCCCGTTCCAGTTAGTCCATTCCCTGATCCGGTTGGTAGAAATGTCGATCCTTTCCGTTTGCCCGTTTTCATTCCGCTGAACTTTTCCAACTGTACTGCAGACGGATGCGGTTTATTTGAAGGTACTACTAACATTTGTCACGAAGATTTTATACGACTGATAACTACAAAACAAAGTACGTGTTATATAGTAAGTTAATTATGACCTTGAGGTTGATAAACTAAAGAACATTAACCTCCTTCTGGGGCGGATCAAGAGGGGGGGGGGGAAGGGGTAGTTCGGGGGCTTCGGTCGGTCGAAATCCTATTTCCGAGGACCTCAATTTTGAGAATTTTCCAAGGGAGGATCCCCCCCTGACCCTCCTACATGGGGACACGCCTTCGCCGGTCCGTATCTCAAACCCCCCTCTCTTAAAACTTGCATCCGGCCCAGGCCTTGGGATTTCCCTTCGTCAGAGACAATTCATTGTTTGCTCCGGTGAGCCTTGGGCTCGCGTTTGTCGGGCTAACATTCTCGTCCCCAAAGGTCAGGAACGTTTTGGCAAGCACCAATTAAGATTATGGGGGAACTCTGATCGGTTGCAATTAGAAACTCCGCGATTCTCGGGCTTCTACCCCAATCTGGCCAACTGACAATCGAAAATGACTCATCTGCGCATAGTAAAAAGATCGGAACCACCCGGATTCTTGGTGCTTTACAAAAAGATCGCGATCTTTGATGGTAGGAAAGAATCTGTTAGTATTACGCAGCGTAAGAATAAACTGTATTCAAACCCAAGTAGTTCACTTCTATTTTTGATTGTTTTAGATTTTGATCCCTCTACTCGAAGTCTCAGAATGTTCTTATTCCTGGAAGCCATTCTTCAAAGGTAAGCGTCGTTCAGGACAGAGGCCTAGGAGATGTGTCTGCTCAGGAAAGATTACATTAATAAAGTGTATTATCGTTTGTCTCACGATGTAGTCACTTGAGATGTAGATCGCGACGTTTCGACT